AAACAATAATCTTGGCTTCATTTATCATCCAGGTGCCTCCACAGGAGAGTGGGGCCACAAAAGCCTTTTTTGTTTGCTTGTTTTGTTTTTGGAATTTGCAATTGTCTATTTTCTTAAGTCTTCCCCACTAGGCTAGAATCATGCGCTCCTGGAGGGTCAGGCCTGGGTCTTGCCCCTGAAATCCCCACCAAGCCTTGTACAGGGGCTCAATGTTTGCTGAATAAACTCTCCTTTCCACGGGTAGGACTTTTCAGCTTGTCAAGACTTTGCTGAACCACGAAATATATCCAGAAACCCAGAAAAGAAGAATTCAGAGGTAAAAGCACAAAAAGATCAGGCAGAAAATACTCAGCAGATATAATCAATACAAGTTCAGTTCTTTGAAAATACCTTTAAAATGGATAACTCTTTGGCAAGTTTTGGTCAAGGAAAGAGAAAGCATGGACAAGCAACAATGCTAGGAATGAGAAAAGGGACAAACTGACAATGGGGAGATTTAAGAGGGGCAGGAGAAAATAACACAAAACTTTACAGCAATAAATTAAAAATCAAGATAAGACGTGACCTTCCATGAAATTACCAAAGCCCTTTTGCAGCTGTTATCTCCAGAAACCCTTATAACAGCACTGTGCTTTGGACGGCAGTGTTCCAGTTAGGTTTTCTGGAAGGAAAAGAGACTGAGAGGTGGACACCCGGCCCAGGTCCCTGACAAGCTACCTGCTTTGTCTCAAAGGTCAGAGCCACAGGAGCACGTGCCCATCAACAACAGGGACCCGCCACACTCTTGCACTTCCAGCCATCACCTTAAGCCCCCTGGTTGGAGGCCAGTCTTATTTATTTTTCCACTTGAAATGCCATAAGGGGTTTCACTTTATTTTTACTTCAAAAGCAGCACCATAAAAATCCTTGATGATTAGAACTCCAGCTGTCCTACGTTGTTTGTCAAGGGATCGGTTACTCAACTCTCCTATGGAGGGAAACAGTTTCAGGCGAGAGGCCATGGGAGCTGAGAAACACAAATGTCTCATCTCTAAAAACTTTCAGACTCCCTCCTGTTCACCGCCTGACCTGCCCCCTCCTCCCCTCCCCCAACCCCACCATCTGCTCTCCAGAGAGCAGATCAAATTTTCGGGCTAAGGTACTCTGGCGCCAAGGACTCAGCCCCTCCATGCTACCCCCGGCCCCATACCGACTCAGAAATCCAACACCACAACCCAAATGGACTGCAGCCACATGAAACCACAAAGTAAAGTTTATAAAGCTTTATTAAACATTTCAAACAGCTGTGCAACGAACACACCGAAAATAAAAGCTCCAGAATAGCAGTCCAAATGTTCCACAAGTGTGGCCTCACGGTCCCATTCCCTAGATGGACTGCCTCCAGTTCTGTCCTCTGCCTGGCCCACCGCCCTTCCCACTCAGGCAAGAGAAAGATGGACGACTGAGACTGGACGGACAACCATGCTGGTCCCCAGTGGGCAGGGGCCAGGAGAAAGTCTCGTTTGCCAACACTTGTTACTGAAGCGCAGAAAAAGCAAAAAGCAAGTGACAGTCACAAAGTCTTCCTGTGTATTCTTCATAATGTACAGTCTATATGCGCAGGACTGAAGGAACTCCTGGCACAAGGACGATGGCCACCGCTCCCCTCTGTCTTGTCTGAACCACCACGGAGTCCAGTGAGCTGGTCACCCTGCAATCCCCATGCTAAATAAAAACTGTAGCAGCACCTACTATAGCTAGCTATTGCTAAACCTCAAAATCAGAACACATCCGATAAAGCTTCTTTAAAAGGAATATACACATATATTTGTATACACACACACACACACACACACACACACATACTCACGGCACACCAAAAATATCCAAACACCTATCAAGGGGATCATGGCTGTTATGAAACACACGAGTACTCTTCCATTCACTCTGGGACTGCTACATCTACATGAACACACCACACCTCAATCCTGCAGAGCATGCACAGGAGACACGGTGAGGCCCCCCCTCCTGGGGACAACTGAGAAAGGCAGGAGGAAGGGCAAAGAAAGTGAGGCTGGGCTGGTAAGCGTGAGCCCAGACACTCAGGTGAAAGAGCAACAGATATGTTACTTCTTTCTTAAAAATGAAGTGGAGAAAATACTGCAGATTTGTGGACAACAAACAGTCAACACACGTTTCTGTCTGGGCTGCTGACCAGGGAAAGAAGGATGAAAAAGCGAGGCTCTCGGGCGTCAGCAATCTCTTTAAATTCGAGATAAGTGCAAAAATGAGCCCTGTCTTGGACAGGTGCTCCCCCAAAAAGGAAAGGGGTAGGAGAGAACTAAAGGGAAACCAGGACAGGGACTGAGGGGATGGGAACATTCTGGTACGGTAAGAGACCCTGACAAGGAGGGGTCACAGAAGTGACGAGACTGGCGTATCATCTGCCCGGGTTATGCTGGGACGGTGTACCAGGACGGGCGCAGACTCCTCGCAGGAATGAGGCGAGGGGAGTGACCATCCTGCCAGCCTGTGGGAGGGGTGGGGGGACCGAGATGGGGACAGAACACACACAATCACAAGACCACCCACGACTATAGGACTCTACAATAAAAGCACCGGTCAGTGCCATTATTCACATTATAAGGATCAAACATCACAGGCCAAGAAAGGCGCCGTCAGGAATGTGGCACCCGCGGGGCTGCGGGATTTGAAACTCCAATGCTTTATGACCTATGTCAATGCCTCCCCTCCCATCTTCTGCTTCCTTGGAAAGCTAACTGGGCAGGCTGTTAGGTGCCCACAACGCCAGGGTCGTGCGCCGATTCCGGAAGCGGGGAATCAGAGCAGTGGTACAGGAAACAGTTTCCCCAGCAGCTATAGCAGATGAGGAACAGGGCTGCCAGGAAAACCAAGGCACAGATTGTGCAAGGCTTCCGCTCCAGGAGGAAGCTGAGCAGGTAGAAGCCCATGAACATGGAGTGGCTGAACCACAGGGCGGGGTTGAGGGGCTTGGGGATGAGAAGGACGGGCAGCAGCCACTGGAGGCAATACATGATCTCTGCTGGGCAGGGCCTTCACCAAGGCCACCGGGCACCGCTGCAGGAACCGACCTAATGGGAGCCAGGGGGCGCAGGCAGCTGCCCTCCGCTTTCTTCAACCCTCACTCTCCAGGAGCTGAGCCGCTGTGCTCTCTGGCTGTCAGCCCGGGATCACCAAGGCAGCACGGATCCTGAAGAGAAAAGTCAACACAACAGACAAACAGACAAAAAACAGACAGACAGACAGACAAAAAAAAAAAAAAAAAAAACAGGAACAGAATGTATACTTATTTGGGAAAATGGATCATGGTTAACAACAGCAAATGTGAATGCCCTTTCCTCCCTGCCCACCCATGGAAGTCTACTCCTCTCCACATCACCATTTCAGGAAGCTCTTGAGGTATCTCCCCGGGGCTTGTCAGGGAGTTGGGCCAGAGGGCTCTTCGGGCAGGTCTGGCACAGTGGACTGGCTTTGCCTGGGCCCTGCCCAGCAGAGATCATGTATCGCCTCCTGGGGCTGCAGCCCGTCCTCAAGGGGCCCAGACCTCACAATACCGCCCTGTGGTTGCCCCCCAATGGCCATGGGCTCCGTGCTGTGCCCCCACAAAATAAGAACAGGGTTTGGTTCTGCATCTATAATCTGTCACAGCAGGTGCTCAGGGGAGAGTTAAAGCACCGCACTGCCAACTGGAGCCCGCAGGCAATGGATCCTTGCATGCTCTGCGAGGCGGCGGTGGCAGCACTACCAAATATTTTCTTTTAAGATGGCAGCCCAGCATCATTTTGCCAAAACCAGCCAACTTCTTCAAAAGTCAATGTAGAAAAAAAAAAAAAAATCACCATGCCACTTCAACCAAACTGACCTCACTTGGATCACTTACACTTTCCATCTGCTGCTGGCACTGTATAGAACCTGACCTCTGTGAGCTTTTAATCAAAATTAATTTTCTATCCACATAGGGGCAAATGCCATTTGGCCCCTGTGCTAGGAAGCTTGCTGGGGAGGCGCTCTCCAGTGGCGGGCCGGCCACCAGTGCGCTGGGGCTGAGCTCGCAGACCGCGTTCCGGTCTTCCCCGCTGTGCCTGGAAATGGACCTGCGGCAGCCACAACCCTCTGGTGGCGGTAGCAAAACCCCATTCCAAGCTCCAGCTGCCCAGTGCAACGGGTACAAAGAACCTCGCTGACTGCGTTAAGACCTACCAGGGCCTGGGGGGAGGGGAGCAGGAGAGAGAGGTTGAAAAGACCTGTCCAGCAGAAATGATCCTGGACCATTTTCCGACCACTTCTCGGAAAGCTCATCCCATCCTTTCTGCGCACACAAAGGGGCCAATCCCTCCCGCATTCCTCCCACAGGGTGGATACCCGGTGACTGCCACTTTTGCGCCTAGAGCTCAGTGCCCTGGCTCTGTTCCTTTCTATCGTCACTGTGGTAGTAACCGTAAGAAGCGGGAGGCAAAGAATCATAGAAAAGTTCCGTGCTCAGGGACTCTCGGGAAGCTGTAAGATGGGCTTACAGCACATCAAATACCAGAATGAGAGTACTGACCAGGGGCCTATGAAGCCAAGGCTCCGGTAAGGGGCACTATTTTTTTTTTTTTTGCTCTGCGGGGCAGATGATCCCTAAGTTAGGTTTTCCTGGTTTTCCACCCGTGCCCAAGGTGGGGTCCTGGTGTGCCACTGGACACTGGGCTCGAATTTGTAGGCCACAGCTCCGAGGAGTTCCGTGCCAAAAGGCGTGCACCCCCTACTCCAGCCCTTTGCTCTACTCAAGAGTTGCAGTTCCCCTCCATTTTACACTAAAATTCAAAAGCGGGCACAGCGGAATCTTCTGGAAAGGGGCTAAGATGGAACTCAAGAGGCGGGGGTCGGTGTGGAAAGAGCAGATGGATTATTTTTTCCTCTGCTGGCGAATGAGGAGCGCCCCCGGCCACCCCTCCTCAATGGACACCCCCAAACGCGCATGCGCACTTGGCTGGCGGGCGGATACTTAAGGCGCGGCCACCGCGGCTGCGGCAGTGCGCCCAACAGCGGACTCCGAGAGATCGGCGGACCTTGCCGAACCACGCTCGCTCTCAACCACTCACCCACCACTCTTGGAACCATGGCGGCAGTGGCGGCAGCCTCAGCTGAGCTGCTCATCATCGGCTGGTACATTTTCCGCGTGCTGCTGCAGGTAAGTGTGCCCAGGTTCCGGGTGGGCGAGGGGTCCCAATGCGCGCCCCCTTAACCGGCAGGCCCACGTCGCAATTGCCGCCTCCCGGACCCTTCCGATCCTTATTGCCGCGATCCCTGCTTGCCCGAGTGCCGCGGTCGGCACCGCGTGCCCCCGCGCGTTTCCCTGCGCCCTCCTCCTCGCGCAGACCCTTCCCAGTGCGCCCGCGCCCGGCCGGGAACAAAGAGTTGGGGCGCGGCGGGCGCCAGCCGCTGACGATCGCCGAGGCTCTTAGCGACCAACGCGGTAAGAAAAACCCGCTACACCCCAGACTCTACCCCAGGAGGGAGGCGGGGCACTTCTGTTTTCCGAAGAGACTTTACGCTCGCATAGCAAAATTTTGTGCCTTAAAAAATTGCGCATTGCGGGGAAATTTCTTTAAAACAATATATATATATAGCGCTTGCGAAGGTGGAACCAAAAATAAGTTAGAAAAAGGCACTTCTCAGGAAAAAAAAAAAAGCACTTCATAAAAACCCACAACGAATTAAGAGAAAAGTAATTTGCGGGAAAAAAATGAATTAGAGAAAATGCGCATTGCAGGAAAAATAAATCAGGCAAAAGCACTTGGCAGAAAAAAATGCATTAGATAAAAAGCGCATTGCAGAAAAAATTAGACAAAGGAGCTAACAGAAAAAAATATGAATCGGATAAAAAGCGCTTTGAAGCAAACAATTAGAGAAGGTTCTTTGCAGGAAAAATGGGAGAGAAAAAAAGCGCTTCCAATTTTGACAATTCGCTTTGTTAAAAAAAATCAAATAGAGACAGAGTGCTTTGTAAAAATAAATCAGAAGAAAGCACTTTGCCCATGAGATCATTTACCCTAAAAGCACCCCTTGCAGGAAGAATTCCCTGCTAAAGGAATCCTTTGCCAAAGGAATCGCATATTTCCTTCAAGGTGTTCCTGGAATGCTGCATTTACTGGGTAGGATTCGCTTTTCGAAATCCTCCAGGGACACAGCCCATTGCGAGAAGTGAGGTATACCTAAGTTGTGGGTCCAATCAGCTTGCTGCCATGCAGCCTTCAGCACAGTTGGAAAAGCTCCAGCTGCCCTGACTCGTGGACAAGCTGCGCTCGCGCCTGCCTAAGTCCGACCGGCAGGCGGGGCAGGGGGTGGGGTGGGGGCGGGCACGGCAGCGCTGCAGACTGGCTGCGGCTGCCTGCCTCTAAGGGCAGGTCCCGGGTCTCTCGCTGCAGGTGTTCAGGTACTCCCTGCAGAAGCTGGCGTACACGGTGTCGAGGACCGGGCGGCAGGTGCTGGGAGAGCGCCGGCAGCGAGCCCCCAACTGAGGCCCCAGCCCCCAGCCCTGGGCGGCCTCGTCACCAGGTGCTCCTGTGCTTCTCGGCCAGCATGGGAGCCAATGCCGCGCAGGAATGGGGGGTCCCCTGTGCTCTCTCGCCAGAGGAGCATTTGCCAAGGTCAGTGAGGGGCCGGTAGGCCCCCGGAGAAGCAGCACCGACAATGACGACAATACCAGATCCCTTCCAAACCCCTTTGCACCCCTCCGACTGCTGGGCAGGGTAGAGGGAGGAGGGGGGGTGGGGGGAGCATACCCCCGAGATCTGGGCACAGGCAATGCATTCTGATCTGGACCAAGTCGGGACAGTGCCATCCCAGCCCCGCAGCCATGGCCATGCCAACAGGCCCCACCACAGAGATCCAGACAACCGCACCAGCCAGCAGAATGGACATTCCAGCATCACCAGCCGAAGCCCTGAACCCCGATGCAGCAGACAAGGCGCCAGCTGCGTGCCTCTGTGGCGGGACTTGAGGGCAAGAGTGAGGGAGGAGGGGTAAGAAACAGAGTGGGGCCCGCTCACTGTCCCTCGCCAACAACACGTGCATTCCAGCCTTGCTGCCTTTGCTCCCTCAATTCCCTCCCCACCCCACGGCCTCCTGAGCCCACCCCAAAGAAATGTGTCACTCAATTTGGACCTATTCAACCAGTAAATGATCCCATCTTCACTAAAACACCTTCTCCAAGCCCCCAGCCCCTCACTGATCTTGCTTTCCCTGGTCTCACGCAGTTGTGGTCAATATTGTGGTAATCGCTAATTGTACTGATTGTGTAAGTGTGCATTAGTTGTGTCTCCCCAGCTAGATTGTAAGCTCCTGGAGGACAGGGACCACCTCTACAAAAAAATAAAAAACCAGTACCTCCCCCATCTTGCACCGTGTCCCAGGACCCTGCGGGGTGGTGGAGGTGCACCAAAAAGCTGTCTCTTGTAACTTCATTTGCGGCTTCAACACATACTTCTTAAGACTGGGCTGGTGCACCATTGTTGGGGTGGGGGAACAAAGGGGGAATAAGCTGGGACCCTCACACACCCAGTTCCATCTTCACTTAACACTGTTCTGAGAGATAAAGAACACTTCCCCACCCCAAGAAGAAACGTCTCCATCTTTTGTGGTCTCAGAATAAAGGACCACTTACCCTCCCCATAGGGGTGGATGCCTTCACTTGTCCTGGAATATGGGACCTTGGCAGGAAAGATGGGAGGAGGTAAGAAAGGTGGGAATAACCCTCACGATGGGGTACTAGAGACCAAGGAAGTGATTCAGGACTTCAGAACACAGAGCTTTAGCTCCATCTAGGAGCCCCAAGGAAATGAGCACCGGGCAGGGTGGGCACTGGCTGATAATGAGTATCGGATAAGAGGTGTGGTGTGGTGCCTCCCCTGCCCAGCTTATCCCTCCAGGCCCTATAACCCCTACCAGGACCACGACAAGGGCATTCTGCCCTGCCTTACTACTCTCCAGGTCTCCTCCCTGACACCCAGGAACCTCTCTAGCTCTCCCCATTAGTGGGTTCTCCACTTCTGGCATTAGCCTCAATATTCTTAGGGGTGCTTACCAGGTCCCTGGCCCTGGGCTCTCTCCTGCCATGTCAGGGTAGGTGGGCGGGTGGGCTGGCTGTTCAGCTCCTGGCTTCTTTCTCCCCTCTTTCACTCTTGAGTCAGGACTCCTTTCACAGGGTTAGCTGACTGCCTCACCAAATGGCCCTGCCGCCTGTTCAGGCTCGTCTCTGGCTTAATGTGTCCCTGTCACTACACACCTGTTCCTGGGTCAACACCAAGGGAGGATTTGGAGGGCCATAAATCTCTCTGCCACTTCCTCAAATCCCTTAGTCACAGTTGCTGCAAACACTTCTGGAGCACAAAGCACCTTGCCCCCTGAGCCTGATATTTCCCCTCCTCTAAGCAACCCCTTAAGTTTCTAAACCCCACTGCCAGCGCCTCTAGAGGCACCTATATCTTTAGTACAACATCAGAGAATTATGGGGGTAGAGGGTACAGACCTCAGTTCTGGTACTGGGCTTTGTCATCAATCAGCCCAGGGAAACTGGCTAGGTCATCTCCTACCCCCCACCTTCAGTTCCCCTCTATAAAAGCGCTAAGACCCCAGTGAACTCCAGGATACTAGAAACATTCTGCTATCAAAGTCGCCATCAGGACCCATGGGGACTGGGGTGGGGATGTGTAATCAGAGACTCCCATCTTCCTTATGCTGGGTGGCTCCAGCTTCTACTTTGGCCTGAAGGTGAGGTGGGTCTCCTCTTGCCCCAGGGTGACTCATCAGCAGGCAATGCCCACACCTCCCTTCTGAAGCCATTTCATGGCAGGCCTCAAGACTGGGAGTTGCTGTGGTTTTCCACACTAAGCCCACAGAACCGTGAACATTTCAACATGTGTTCTCAATGAAGACTGCCTCACCTCAGAGCCTTCAAGGGGTATGCCCACAGCCCCACTGTCCCACATGCTCTAACCTCAGCCCAGTTATAAGGTAGCTGAGTTCAGACAGACAGGCATGGAAGGGTCTGGCTGTTCTGGACAGAGCATGCTCCCCTTAGTCTCCTGTACCCCCTTTAAAAGGCAGGAGGCTGCTGGCAGCCCCAGGGCTTTCCAGATAATCTTGGCAAAGCCCATGTGTGGGGCTTCTCCATCCATCCATCCAAGTGGCATGGTGAGATGACAGAATTCCAGGCAAGGGCTGTCCTGGTGGCCTGCATTCACATGGATGGGCTTGAGTGTGCAGTGTCCACTCCCCCACTTTCATCCTTCATCCCCAAACCCTCATGTTCTGGCAGCAAACAACCCACTGGAGAAGGCAGAAGGAATGCGTCCACTTTCTATTCCTGTGTGGTGCCTAGAAGTCTGGTCCAAACACACCTTGTTTATAAAAATTTTTCCAGAAGCAATACCATTAAAACATTTTATTCCAATAGCAATGGCAGAAGTTAAAAATGACTAGAATTTTATTGCAGGCCCTTAGTCCACAGGCCTCCCTTTTTCCTAAACTGTCTCTACCACCCCCAAAAGGCTTTGCCCCTGTAAAACCAAGGATAGAGCAGATGAGTTGTGAGGGGATTGGAATGGCTTTGGAAAGGCAAGACTCTTGGCACTAATGCCCCAAGAAGGATGTTAGTGTCTCAGCCTAACCAGTTAAGCTCCAAGGGGGGGTGGGGGGGGGCTAGGTACCATGACTTTCAGAGGTGTGGGATGCTATGTGACACTGCTATCTCTATCTGTGGAGTATTTGGATTGTGACGGAAGGAAGAGGTGGGGGGACAAGCTTCTTAAGCTTCAACTGCAGGACAGCAACAGCTTTTTACACCTGCATTGGATGAGGGAGCAGGTTTGCTGTGAGCCATTTGCTACATATCTATTTTCAAACTTGTATCTACTCAGGAGCCAGCACCCTAAAGTGAGATTCTGAATCTGCAGTTAGTTTTACCCCCCAGAGATTTAAACGTGCACAAACGCGCACACAACACAAAAAACATTAGTCTAACAACAGTCTCTTTTTCCCTGGTGATCTCTGACTTCCTCTATATGCCCCAGAGACATGTCACCATCTTCTCTGGGAATGATCCTGTTCACCCTTCCCTCCACCCCTTCTCCCTCCCAACAGGGCCCATACCCCAGCAGGATCCAGATTCCTGAGCATTCCCATAACAGGAAGTCAAAGAGGCAGGCAACACATGGTCCTTGGTATAGCACACAGTGACAGGCTTGAAATGGAATGCATATGTTTCAAAGATAAGAGAACAAAAAAAGACAGCCAAACCTAGACTTCCAGATTCCTCTTTGAAACAACATATTACAGATAAAAGGTTAAACTGTTTTTGGCAGCAATTCTAACAAGACCAATTACAGATCCGGAATTGATCTGGTCACAGGAAACTGACCAGGGCTCTGAATCTTTTAACAGATTTGCTTGACATTAGTCTCTGATTTAAAACAAACAAATAAACAAGATCTAACACTTGGCATTAGCACTTAAGCTGGAACTTTTTTTTTTTTTTTGTCCTGGCTTTGGTGTTGCTGTCCAGAAGGCTGAGGGGATGGTAGGACCATGTCAGGCAGGGCAAACAGAAGCTGTTCCCAGCACACCAGCTCCCTGAAAGGGATAAAACACGATCCGAACCTATAAACAGAAAGATCATTTCCTCCCTAGGACAGACCCCAGTCTGTCCCAACATTTAGCGTTGAAAAGGGACACGGAGGCCTGGAAGGAATATACAGAAGGTTTGGAAGGGGTAAGGAAAAAGAACTGTTCCCCATCCCCCATTCTTTCTAGGCCACTGGTGTGCCAGGCATTCCGTTCCTTCAGCTGCCCTTGAGGGCCACTCCCCATATATACTGGAAGAAAGGAAACGGGTGTCCAGACTTGATGTAAAGTTATGAGAGAGTAAGAAACACCCGCGACTCAAAGCAGAGCGTCAACCTATTACCCCATCACCTTAGACACCGAAGCGGGTGCCTGGGGCGGGAGGCCCCCTTTCGCCCCTCTCACCCACGCCCCTTCTGATTTTAAAAATGCTACTGAAGTGGCGGGGACAGAGTAATAGGACTCTCAGAAGCTGGGCCCCCTGCCACGGGCCCCTGGGCCGAAGAGGTGGTAGTCGCGCCCCTCGGCCCCGCGCTCCCCGACTCTGCCTGTCCCGTCCCGGGAACAGACAGGCGAGCACTGACCTTGGAGGCCAGAACGAGACCCAGGGGTCCGGTGACTCGCCCTCGGGCCGCGGAAGGACCCCCAAGGTCCAGGCTGGGGCCGCACAGGGCAATCACGTGACACCGGACAGGGGTGGCCCCCTGGGTGCGCGGAAGGAAAACCCCAGAAAGGGACCGGGCGACGCCTTAAGGTGACCCCGAAGGGACAACATGGCGGCGCCGCCGCACTGAGGGCCTCTCATCCCGTCCCCAGGGGGCCGACGCCACGGTACCTGCGAGCCCTGCCATGGCGCCGCCGCCACTGTCGCCTTCGCTGCCGCAGCCTGCCTCCACCTCAGCTCGCCACCGACGCCGCAGGAAGCCGGGGAGACGCCCCCTTCGTCTTCTAGTGGAGCAGACCGAGGACCCCTCCTGGCATTGGGCTGCCTCCAGAAGACGCCTGATCATAAGCTCCAAGTCAGGTCGTCTTCGCCCGATATTCCCACAATGTTCGCCTCAGATGAGCCTTTGAAAACTTTCTATGTATCTGTGAGGAACTGAGGGGGCTCTCAAGTCTTCAAGCCCGAAGAATTTTTAATCAGGCGCATCTCGGGTAGTCCCGAGTCACGGTCTCATGGTCCCCTCATGCATATGCAGCAGATTGTGATCCTTACTCATTGAGCACCGAGGGGGCGTACCTTAGTCTTCATAGATGAGCTCTTGATTCCGGTTCCCTGCGTGGATCATCTGTGTCATTCGTGGCAAACCTCGTGGCTCAAAGTCCACCCTCTCCCTGGCCCTTTCACAAAGGGGCCAAAGTTCAGGAACGGAAAAATCGGGTTCAGAACTTAGGACCTGACTCCTCCCCTTTCCCTGTACCTTGGGCAACTTGCCCACCCCGACTCTCAGCTTCCCTAGGTCTGATGAAATGCTTACCTCATAGAGTTGTTATGGGGATTGAATGAGTCGGGATTCGTTTATTAGCTCATTAAGCGCCTTCCTTGAACGCTTACTATCTGTAAGTGCAGCGCTAAAGGCAGGAGGGTGGAGTGGAGGGTGGCAAGCCTCTGCCAGTCTAGTGGGGGAAAGTGAAGGGGCGGAGGAACGAGAGTCAGCAAATAATGACGGTTAATATTAATCAAATCAATATATAATTATGCAGCATGGGAAGTGTAGTGGGAGAACGTAAGGAGGGTTATGGAAAATGAATGGGGTAAGGGGTGAGGGTGGATACCCCTTGAGAAGCTGACATTTAGATTGAGAAACTAAGGACAATTAGGAGTTGTGCAGGGCAAGAGTGAGTGGGGAAATGTTATAGGCAGAAAGAACCACTTGTCCCAGAT